GAATCTGTGTTTGAAAATTCACTGCTTGACTGAGGGACTTTACAGATAATTGTATGTGTGGGGTACAGAGATGAGGTATTCATTCAAAAAATCATGTTAAACACTATTATTGCACACAGAGTGAGTCCATGCAACTTACTTTTACTCCTGAACTTATTTAGGCTTGCCATAACCAAGTGGTTGAATACTTATTGACTCAAGACATTTCAGCTATTCATTTTTTATTAATTTGTAAATATTTCGGAAAACATCATTCCACTTTGACATTATGGGGTATTGTGTGTAGGCAGTGACAACACAACAAAATGTGGAAAAAGTTGAGGGGTGTGAATACTTTCTGAAGGCACTCATTGGCAATGAGTGTACAAAACATTACGAATACCTGCTCTTTCCATGACATAGACTTACCAGGTGAATCCAGGTGAAAGCTATGATCCCTTAATGATATGACTTTTTAAGACCACTTTAGTCTGTCTAGATGAAGGGGAGGAGACTGGTTAAATAAGGTTTTTTAAGCCTTGAACAATTGAGACATGGATTGTGTATGTGTCCCATTCAGAGGGTGAATGGGCAAGACAAAATATTGAAGTGCCTTTGAACGGGGTATGGTAGGTAGTAGGTGCCAGGCGCACCGGTTTGAGTGTGTCAAGACTTCAACACTGCTGGGGTTTTCACGCTCAACTGTTTCCCGTATCAAGAATGGTCCACCACCCAAAGGACATCCAGCCAACTTGACACAACTGTGAGAAGAATTGGAGTCAACATGGACCAGCATCCAATGCCAAGAGTGTGCAAAGCTGTCATCAAGGCAAAGGGTGGTTACTTTGAAGAATCGCAAATATAAAATATATTTTGATTTGTTGAACACTTTTTTGGTTACTACATGATTCCATATATATTATTTCATAGTTTTGATGTTTTCACTATTATTGTGCAATGTAAAAATAAAGAAAAACCGTGGAATGAGTAGGTGTGTCCAAACCTTTGACTGGTACTGTATATATATATACAGTATATTGTGTGTGTGTGTGTGTGTGTGTGTACTGTGTAAAGCCACTGAGTCATGAGCTGATGAATTTCACACCTGCCTGCTGCGCCTCCATAGCAACCGTCGCCCCTGCCACAAACATGAGCAGTTATTCCTGCAATCACAGCTTCTATTCAACTCATGTGTCTGCATCTCTTTGCTCGTCTGTGTGTGCTTGCGTGCATTCATTCATGCATGTATGTCAGTAACATGAGACGTGTGAGAGTGTTTTCCATAAGTGCAGGCTGTCGGCTAAACAGCCGATAAAAGGCTCATTGTCAGTTGGATACTTTTTCCACGTCATAAATTAACTAGTCAGAAAAGTCTGTATAGCCTTCTCCCGCTAGAATGAACGATATGCAACTTTAGCGATCTATTGATAGGACAGGCGCCTCTCAGTCACAAAGCGAGCGATGACAGGGAAAGAATGCTGGTTTGTCAGTCTGCTGTCTGTCCCGCCTCTCGGTACCTGTGTTATTTTTGTGCGCTGTGGTTGGCTGCAGTCAAATTTCTTTTCACGGAGTGAGAGCATGATGCTACTTCATCGTCTCCTGTGAGTGAATTTATTAAATCCACTTAATTATTATTTTGTGGCACATTTATTTAGACTACGTTCTTTTTCATGTTTCATAGGGCTATACGCTATAGCCAGCCATGGAGTCGAGGTGCATAGGCTATTGACTGTGCTTTGATTGAGGACAGAACAGCAAGTGTTGACTAAGTATAAAACTAGTCAAAAATGTCGAACTGACTAAATAAAGTAAATCTCCTATATCCATTTTCTATTCGTAAATCATACAACTTAGTTATATGTACATGGTATCGCATCCGGACAAGTAAACCAAAGATATTGTCGAAGCCCATGTCGAGAATTGCTAGTAACCGGAATGGTAACTCGTTAGTGTAGTTTAGTGATGGGTTGTGTGCGAACGAACGGCTGTTTTTGAACGGATCTTTTAGGTGAACGAACCCGAATCGCATCGGTGAGAGAGCCTTTCAGTTGACTCCCTAATTTGTATACTGGTAGGCTTACTACTGCTTTTTAGTTATTATCTGCAGATAAATTATGAAAACATTAAACATTTTATAACCATTTTCCTGCATTTCGATATTGTTTCTCAACACGGAATCCATGTTTACTTGACAGAACACAACCTTTTTTCTTAGGTTTTTGCCACAATAAACTACATTGAAAGAGTAGAATAGATTTAGTTTTTGCCACAGATGAAATTGATAGAATAGACTAGAATAGTTTTTCTGACTAGATTACTAATCTACTGCCTTCCCCAAAATCCCACCTACAGTGATTGATTGACAGGTCTGAAACCCTACCAACTCTGTGACTCACAAACATCCTGCCCCCTCCCCTGACAATCCCACCCTCAGTGATTGATTGACAGGCCAAACTGTTAAAGGAATAGTTCACCCAAATTACAAATTATGAACTGTGTTGTTCGAGCCCTGAATGCTGATTGGCAGACAGCCTTGATTTATCAGACCGTGTACCACAGGTATGACAAAACATTTATTTTTACTGCTCTAATTACGTTGGTAACCAGTTTACAATACAGTAGCAATAAGGCATCTCGGGAGTTTGTGGTATATGGCCGATATACCACGGCTAAGGGCTGTATCCAGGCACTCCGCGTTGCGTCACGCTTAAGAACAGCACTTAGCCGTGGTATATTGGCCATACACCACACCCCCTCGGCCTTTATTGCTTGAATAACACATTGGTTTCCTTACCGTAAGTGTCCATAGCAGCAGAGCCAATAAAATACATAATTTAAAGAACAAACATCATTGTGGCAATTCAGTATGAAAAAAATAAAAATAATAATAATTTTGCACTCACTAACTGTAAGTCGCTCTGGATAAGAGCGTCTGCTAAATGACTAAAATGTAAAAAATATCTTGCAGCAAAACTGTACATGTGACTTTAATCTCAATAGAAGACAGGTTTAATGTAAAGAAAATGTTCTCTCACTTAGAAAATGGTTCTGATCATATAGGTCTAGACCTAGACAATATCCAAAACAACTAACAACACACTGAATTCATACATTTTCTGTCATTTTAATTGTAATCTCATGTCTTTCTACTCAATACCACAACTCCTTTTACCAATCTGGGAGGTACATTTAATAATTTAGCTGTGTATTTTGGATGGAATCAAGGCATTAGAATATAACAGAAGCCACCAAAATAGAGTTAGTTCTGCAACAAAAAAAATCCCAGGGGGATTTCTCAGGCCCCCACCAAGCCTGTTCTACTGCAATATCTTTGTCTTTAAGTCTCTCGTGCCAATTAAGATGTTCTGTTCAAATTCAACCATGCACAGCCAGACAGACAGCTGCACTGTATATCACAGATTCTATCACTACCCCCCTCCCCCCTCCTCCCTAACCCAGACCCCGCCTATAACAACTGAAAGGGTACAGATCTGTTCCCCTCCCAGAACCCAGTGAAGCAGTACTGTGTTGGGCCGAGATGGGATCTTGGTGCCATCCCCAGATTTAGTGCTAAGAACAACAGATATCTTTGTTTTCAGGGCTGCAGTGCAGTTCGTGCCTTGGCTTGGTTTCACTGTGGAGCTGGTAGAGTTAGGAAGGCACACCTGAATGCAGCCCTGTCTGTCTGTTTCTGTGTGGGCCCATGTGTGTGGTTGTCGGTCTGTGTGTGTCAGTGCATCTTTTTCTGCATGCCTCAACAGCTCTCCTATTGTTGGCATAGCCCCAGCACCACACCTGGTTTACATAACTATCTACGTTCCAATGGAAGATCCCATGCCCTCCCACTCTGCCATTACAACATACAGGCAGCAGTTTTTCCCCTCATTTTCATATTAAAGTCTGATGATCATGAAACTAGAAAGAACCCTCATGACATGAGTGCTTTTCTCCTAAGGTGCACTGTTGTATTTGAATGCAACATTTTAGCTATGTAATTTGCGTTAAAGTTGTTTAATTTGCATCAATGATGAACTAGATTGACAAGTTATTCACATTCTGCAGTTAGGTAGCCTTGATTCTTCATCCTTCTCCAGTAGATGGGAGTATCTGACCCGTGGACGTCTGCTGTCCTCTCTGACGTCGCCTCTTAACCCTTCAGCATACAACAGCACTTGGGTCATGACCTTGGTTCAGGGCCATTGGGAGCCGTGAGTGAGGTTAGGATTCTCAGGATTAGGATTCTCACAACTCTCTGTGTTTCTTTCTCTCGCTCTCTTTCCATCTCTATCTCTCTTTCTCTATTGGCATTGCTATGCACTGATCTTAGGTAAGTTGTAATTGAAACATTATAATGGTTAAGGGCATGACTGGTGTGTAGTTAATCTGATTTCAGATCTGTGTTTAAGGCCCTTGGTGCGCTCTCAGGTCAGTGCGAGGGCTGGTGTGAGGTGACAGAGGAGATTGACCTGTGTGATCTGGGACCTCCCTCTCTCACACTTTCTGAGCCTGGAGGATTACACTGTGTTGACTGCCAGCTCTGTTGACACGCAGGCCTGTTGGGCTCAATCCTCTACTCCTCTACTGATGGCTCATTATGGGGCTCTCGGCCCTACAGTCTGGGTGTCGGGAAAATAAACTGGGAGGCCTCTCTCTCTAGGCCTCTCTCTCTCTCTCTCTCCGCGTCGCGGCTCTAGCTCGAGCGAGAGGACGCGCGAGCGGATCGAGGCGCGAGCCTCTCTCTCGCTCGCTAAGGAAGGAGAAAGCGATCCTAGAGAGAGAGAGAGAGACCCTCTCCTCCTTCCTTACCTCCCTCTACGGACACTCTCTCTCTCGCCCCTCTCTCGCTCCATTCTCTCTCTCTCTCTCCAGGCCTCTTTCTCTCTCTCTCCAGGCCTCTCTCTCTCTTTCCCTCCCTCTCCCTCCCTCTCTCTGTGCTATTGTGCTGTAGGATGTGCATTGCATTGCAGTATGTCTATGGCTCTGGCGTATCACTCAGCTCTTTCAGACGTTGTTGTGTATAAATGGCTGAGGACTGTCTGATATCCTTAGACGGCGTCTATCTCTTCACTCTCTGTGGCATGAAGAGAAAGCTGGGCCGGAGCAGTAAGCCCTTAAGCCTTCTTAGACAGTCAACTCTCATTAATTAGAGAAGGAGAAATAAATCAGACCAACCGGACAGTGTGAATGGATGGGACGGCAGTAACTCCCTCAGCCAATGGCTGGACTGTGATTACCCCTGGTCTCTCCCCCTGGTGGTCAGTCACTGAGGAGGGGATGCGTATCTGCTGTCTGTCAGAGTGTGGAGAGGAATAGGGACATCCCGTATCTTCTACTGTAGAACTTCTGCCTTATCTTTACTGTGTGGTGTGTTTTCCCTGGTGCTCCTGAGGGTGTGTGTGTGTTTTCCCTGGTGCTCCTGAGGGTGTGTGTGTGTGTGTGTGTTTTCCCTGGTGCTCCTGAGGGTGTGTGTGTGTGTGTGTTTTCCCTGGTGCTCCTGAGGGTGTGTGTGTGTTTTCCCTGGTGCTCCTGAGGGTGTTTGTGTTTTCCCTGGTGCTCACTGAGGGTGTGTGTGGTGTTTTACCCTGGTGCTTCCTGAGGTGTGTGTGTGTTTTCCCTGGTGCTCCTGAGGGTGTGTGTGTGTTTTCCCTGGTGCTCCTGAGGGTGTATGTGGTTTCCTGGTTGCTCCTGAGGGTGTTTGTGTTTTCCATGGTGCTCTGAGGGTGTGTGTGTGTTTTCCCCCTGGTGCATCCTGAGGGTGTGTTGTGTGTGGTGTGTTTTCCCTGGTGCTCCTGAGGGGTGTGTGTGTGTGTTTTCACTGGGTGCTCCTGAGGGTGTGTGTGTGTTTTCCCTGGTGCTCCTGAGGGTGTGTGTGTGTGTGTGTGTTTTCCCTGGTGCTCCTGAGGGTCGTGTGTGTGTGTTTTCCCTGGTGCTCTGAGGGTGTTGTGTGTGTGTGTTTTCCCTGGTGCTCCTGAGGGCGGTGTGTTGGTGTGTTTTCCCTGGTGCTCCTGAGGGTGTGTGTGTGTGTGTGTTTTCCCTGGTGCTCCTGAGGGTGTGTGTGTGTGTGTTTTCCCTGGTGCTCCTGAGGGTGTGTGTGTGTGTGTTTTCCCTGGTGCTCCTGAGGGTGTGTGTGTGTGTGTTTTCCCTGGTGCTCCTGAGGGTGTGTGTTTTGGGGTGTTTTCCCTGGTGCTCATGAGGGTGTGTGTTGTGTGTTTTTCCCTGGTGCTCCTGAGGGTGTGTGTGGTGTTTTCCTGGTGCTCCTGAGGGTGTGTGTGTGTTTTCCCTGGTGCTCCTGAGGGTGTGTGTGTGTTTTCCCTGGTGCTCCTGAGGTGAGCCATGAGACAGGAATAGGGAGGGGCCTATTGTGCTGTTGACTTTTGGAGCTTTATACTGAGAGCGTGATTCCTGGATTTTTGAACGTACGGTGTGTTTACACAGCATGTTTGCAGAATGTAAATTGAATGAGAGGTGTTTTGAAACAGAAAGAGAAGCAGAGAGTGTATGTTAGAGAGAGAGGGAGAGAGAGTTTTCAGTGGAAATAGTAATGTAGTTAGATCTATTATTTATCCTCTGTGACATAGATATTTCCAAGTGGGGAAGTTCAGCAATTAGCTAACCTCAACTGTTTACAGATAAACATGTGTTCCTCCTTTTTATGCCAGGGCATCTAGTCAACTATTTCTTCCTGGGGCCTGACCCTGCATCTTTCTCTGATTTACTGACTGTACTGTGTGGTATGCAGGCAGAGTTATCAGAGCCTCTACAAGATCATTTTGACACTGTCAGACTCTTAGCAGTATTCATCTCCCCTTCTCTCCCGTTCTTTCATTGATTTATATCTCATTCTCTCTTATTTTCTCTCTGGACAGACCCAGGAAGCTCTTGAAGACTCGGAGGGTCTCCAGAACCCAGAGGGATTAGGATTAGAGGTGGAAGACGGGGATTTGGGTGCCGGTGACCCCCAGGACTGGAGCGAGGAAGGGGGGAGGACAGGGGGTGGTGGGGGTGACATTACCACGTCGGAGGAATACTTTGACTCGCGGTCGTGGCACAGTGACACTCTGTGTGACACGCTGTCGGACCTAAGCCCGGACAGCAGCGAGGACTCTCTGTCTGCCTTACTGGGGGTGGAGGACGTACACACGGGATGGAGACTGGAGAACAGCAGCTACCACACTGCTGGGAACTGTAGAGCCAGACGCACAGCAGAGAGGAGCCAGCACAGCCACCGCACAGAGAACACAGAGACTGACGTACGCAGACCCAGCACAGAGAAACACAACCAGCCCAGCACAGAGAAACACAACCAGCCCAGCATAGAGAAACACAACCAGCCCAGCATAGAGAAACACAACCAGCCCAGCATAGAGACAGCACAGAGTCAGCCTTGCAACACAGAGAAGAAGCGACACAATCACAGGACAGAAACCCAGCACAGCACAGAGTTGCACAATCAGCTCAGCACAGAGATACACTGTACAGAGATACAGAACCAGTCCAGCACAGAGATACATAAAACAGAAGTAACGACCCAGCACAACCCAGGGAAAGTCAGCACAGAGGTTCATATCACTGAAATCACAGGTAATCAGAATGCACTAACATTAGTACTCCACACAGAGTCAAACAAACCGAATAACCCAGACAGACACAACATCGACATTGCACAAAGCACAGAAACATTTGCACAGAGAAACAGCACAGAGGAAACTAGTAGAGAGACACGGACGCAGAGCAGCACAGAGAAACAGAGCACAGGGTTAGAAAACACAGCTAGAACAGAGAAACAGAGCACAGGGTTAGAAAACACAGCTAGAACAGAGAAACAGAGCACAGGGTTAGAAAACACAGCTAGAACAGAGAAACAGAGCACAGGCACTAAATGCACAGGGATATGTAAACAACATAACATAGATATACAAAGTATAGATCTGCTGTCCACTCTACACAGTGTAGAGAAACATAATTCACAAATACACAACAGTCACCTAGAGCAGGTAAGCCTTGCCAGACAGAATACATCTAGTGCATATGGAAAGGAGACAAACAGTCAGCACTGTTCAGAGACACACTGCATAGACACACACAACACAACAGACACACCGCTTTGGACATATCTGGCACACATGTGACACTTTGCACAGATACACCCAACACACTCAAAGCAGAGACACACTGTAGGCTCACACACAACAGTCACAGCTCAGACATACACTTATCTGACACACAAAGTGAACTTATTCCGGAACATCCCGCAACAGACACACATGCTACAGAAACACACACCACAGAGACAATCTGTACGGACACACAACTCACAGAAAGGAGTAGCACACCCAACACAGAAACAGAGAGGAGTAGCACACCCAACACAGAAACAGAGAGGAATAGCACACCCAACACAGAAACAGAGAGGAGTAGCACACCCAACACAGAAACAGAGAGGAGGAGCACACCCAACACAGAGACAGAGAGGAGGAGCACACCCAACACAGAGACAGAGAGGAGTAGCACACCCAACACAGAAACAGAGAGGAGGAGCACACCCAACACAGAAACAGAGAGGAGGAGCACACCCAACACAGAGACAGAGAGGAGTAGCACACCCAACACAGAGACAGAGAGGAGGAGCACACCCAACACAGAAACAGAGAGGAGGAGCACACCCAACACAGAGACAGAGAGGAGGAGCACACCCAACACAGAAACAAAGAGGAGAGCACACCAACACAGAGACAGAGAGGAGTAGCACACCCAACACAGAGACAGAGAGGAGGTAGCACACCCAACACAGAGACGAGGAGGAAGAGCACCACACAGAGAGGAGGAGCACACCCAACACGCAGGAGGGAGCACACAAAACAGAACAGAGAGGAGAGCACACCAACACAAGACAGCAGAGAGAGGAGCACACCCAACACAGAGACAGAGAGGAGGAGCACACCCAACACAGAGACAGAGAGGAGGAGCACACCCAAAACACAGAGGACAGAGAGGAGGAGAGCACACCCAACACAGAGACAGAGAGGACAGAGCCCACCAACAGAACAGAGAGGAGGAGAACACCCAACACAGAGACAGAGAGGGAGGAGCACACCCAACACAGAGACAGAGAGGAGGAGCACACCCAACACAGAGACAAACAGTCCAGTACCACACAGTTTAGAAACCACAGGGAAAGTTCATTCAGCCAGTCCATGTGTGGGTATCCCCAACGGACCTGTCACAAAGACCCAGCCTCAGGCCTGCCTCGGTGCTACAAAGCCCCACGTTGAGGCATGCATATCGGGTGTCCGCTGGCAGGAAGAGCACTTGGGGTGTGTCACCACCAGGAACTCAGCAGAGCCGACTGAACCGTCAGAGACAGTGAACGGGATCTGTCCAATCATATCGTCCGTGGAGGCTGGACTTCCTTTAGAGGCGGGACTTAATGTAGAGGTGGGGACTTCCTGAAGAGGCGGGACTTCCTCCCTCGCTAGACACCCGTGTGCCTATACCTGTTCCCGACCCGTCTCTCTCACCGTCGCGAGACAGGAAGGGGATCAACCAAACAGAATCCCAGTTAGCCTCACCTGTCCTACCTACTGGGCTAGAAAGTGGAGGAATTACAGAGACACAACAACAACAACAACAACAACAACAACAAACACAGAGCTCCAGTTCACGACCCCAGGAAAAGGATGCCATTCAAACACAGGGCCTAATCCCTGAGCTCCAGGACCAGGGGGGCTCTAGCACAGAGACACCCAGAGACAGTGAGCACTCGCCTGGGGAGAATAAGAGGGATGAGGCCCGGCTGAGGGAAGGCTCCACCTCCGTAGAGCTCCAGCCTGGTTCTGCTCATCCCCAGTCTGACACTGAGGGGGGGATTGAGGAATGCCTGCCCCCCCACCCCTACTCCCTCCCTCACATAGACAGACCGCTTTGCTCTGACAGCTTAGGGTCAAAAGACTCAGAACACTCCCAGTTGAAGACCTCAGACAGAGAGTACAGGACAGGCTCAGCCCATTCCCTGTCCGTAGAGAGAGAGGAGGGGGAGGAGGAGGAGGAGGAAGAGAGGAGGAAGAGGAGGAGGAAGATAGTCATGTTTACAGTCAGCAGGAGCAGGCAGTAGAAAGCACATCCTGTCCTTATTCAGCACAGTCAAACACTGTTATAGCAGCAGAGCTCTCTGGCCATACAGACACTGTTACAGCAGAGCTCTCTGGCCATACAGACACTGTTATAGCAGCAGAGCTCTCTGGCCATACAGACACTGTTATAGCAGCAGAGCTCTCTGGCCATACAGACACTGTTACAGCAGAGCTCTCTGGCCATACAGACACTGTTATAGACAGCATGAGCTCTCTGGCCCATACAGACACTTTTACAGCAGAGCTCTCTGGCCTACAGACACTGTTACAGCAGGCTCTCTGCCATACAGACACTGTTATGAAGCGGGCTCTCTGGCCATACAGACACTGTTACCGCAACGAAGCCTCTCGGCCATACAGACCACTGTTACAGTCAGAGCTCTCTGGCCATACAGAACACTGTTACAGCAGAGCTCTCTGGCCACATACAGACACTGTTATAGACAGCATGAGCTCTCTGGCCATAACGACACTGTTACAGCAGCGCTCTCTGGCCATACAGACACTGTTACAGCAGAGCTCTCTGGCCCATACAGACCCTGTTATAGCCGAGGCTCTTATGGCCATACAGACACTGTTACAGCAGAGCTCTCTGGGCCATGACAGACACTTTATAGCAGCCAGAGCTCTTGGCCATACAGACACTGTTACAGCAGAGCTCTCTGGCCATACAGACACTGTTACAGCAGAGCTCTCTGGCCATACAGACACTGTTACAGCAGAGCTCTCTGGCCATACAGACACTGTTATAGCAGAGCTCTCTGGCCATACAGACACTGTTATAGCAGCAGAGCTCTCTGGCCATACAGACACTGTTATAGCAGAGCTAACTGACTCTGACCATATTGGGCTTCCAAGCACAGAGGAGACGGAGGACGCTATAGACCCCTTCAGCCCTACAGGAGTCTTCATAGAGATCACCAGTGATCTGCTTGTTGACCTCAGCTCACAGGGTGTGTCTAGTGACATAGGCCAGGGGTCAACCCTACCTACAGAGACTGAATCTCTTCAGGGAGACAGCACAGAACCCCCTGCCTTAGATCAGGTAGCCACGCCACTGAGGAAGATAGAGATTACCGTGGGAACAGACTCTACTGTGTGTAAAGAACAGGTCCAGAGCCACCTGAATGAGCTAGAGATCCATCACAGCATCTCTGGGCCTGAACCCTCTTCCTGCGCCGTGCCACCCTCCATCCTGTCTCTGTCCTGCCTCTCTGACTCCAACAACAACACCAAGGCCAGTGAAGGGTCGGTGTCGGGGTCGCCCTGTACAAGGGGTCAGGGGCCAGAGCAGTGGTCCTCCAAGGTAGAGGTAGCCCCCCAGAGCAGCTCAGAGGAGGGTGGGGATAAAACCGATGATGAGTCCCCTTCCCTGACCGAGCCCACCACGTTTACCTCTGACCTCCTGGGGGAGACGACAGAGACCCTAGAGAGACACCTAGAATACCCCCCTGAGGACTCTGAGGAGTTCCTGTCCTACCTGGACTACAAGCCCTACTGGAGCAGTGAGGACTCAGCCGTGTCCGGGTTGGTGGATGAGTGTCACTTCAGCTTGGCTGAGGTGGAGGAGCTAGAGAGGCTCCAGGGAGAGGGCTACGGGGACGTCCCTTATCAGAACCATACAGACACTGCAGTCTGTAGGAGAGATATCTCTAACCATACAGACACTACAGGCTGTAGGAGAGATATCTCTAACCATACAGACACTACAGGCTGTAGGAGAGATATCTCTAACCATACAGACACTACAGGCTGTAGGAGAGATATCTCTAACCATACAGACACTACAGGCTGTAGGGAGGCTGTAGAGGAGTAGTTCATTCTAATTGTGTTGCTAACAGTCCTTCAGACCTCTCTGACCACTTAGCTTCCTACCTGGAGACCAGAGGCCTGCTATTGGACAGTGTGGAGAAAGAGGAGGTGCAGGAGTCCAGCCCCCTCCAATTCCCGAATCCTCCCTCAGAGGGAGACAGACAGGACTGTAGCAAATCACCTGAGGCTTTAGGATCAGAGGAGGAGTACAGCTCGTACAGCTCCTACCTCCAGACCAGCTCTCACCCTGCCCTCCTGCAGCAGGATCGTGGGGTGAGGATTGTGAGGTACCCCTACTCCGACGTCAGTCTCAACCTGCTCTCCCTCAGCAGCCTCGAGCCCATCCTAGAGGCCGACCCCGACCGCTCCCTGTACAACTCTGGGATTGTGGAGGATGAGACTGGAGTAGAGGAGGAGGAGGAGGAGGAGGAGCGAAGACAGAGTGTTAGGATGAGGCCCACTGAGGAAGACAGGGACAGTGTTGTCCTGTCTAGTGACATCATCATGTCCAACTCCACCGCCAGCCCTAAGAGCCCGTTGTTGTGTTGCCCCGAGGACTCATCCAGTATTGAGTCATCAGAGCACCAGCTGGACTCGTTGACCTTTGACCCCGATGACCCCAGGGTCATGGCCTTACCATACGACAGGGACCATGCGAGCAGCGAGAGACGCTCCAGTCCAACCCCCACCTCTGTGTCCTACGACTTTGACACCACCAGCACTAACAGTGAGGAGACGGAAGAGTCCATCCTGCCTGTCTCGGGGGGGAACGCCAACCTCCACAAACCCATGAAGAGCAAGTCTAAAGGTGGCCAGGCAGGGAGGTCCAAGAGCTCTAAGTTTTCTGTCTTTGCCAAGATGCCTTCTTTCAGGAAGGGGAAGAGTCTGAAGAATGCCAAGGGGGAGGGCTTGCCCCGGGACTCACTTGACCTGGGCCTGAGCAGGGATCTGGGGGGTGGACAGGGGGGAGACACCTCGGACGATGACAGTGTTTTCTTGAAGGGGGACATCCAGAACCAGACGGTTCAGCAGTCCTTCTCCTCCGGTCTGGGGGGTCGCTACGAGACAGAGGAGGAGGACTATGGCTTCTTACCCTCCACACCTCGCACCCGCCACGTCCGCCTGCTCTTCAGGGAGGGGCCTGGGGACACCCCTGACGGGCCCAGCAGCCCAGACACCACCCTGACCTCCCAGCCCGGAGGTCTCAGACACAACCAGACCAGGGCCCCCGAGGGCCTGCACGGCTACAAGAGGAGCAAGAGCTCCGACAGCCTCAACCTCCGCATGCGCTTCGCCCAGGCCCACAAGTCCCTGTCCAGCCTGTTCGAGTCTCGCTCCATGGACAAGGAGAACGAGGAGGAGCAGGGGAGCGTTGAGACGGGGAGAGAAGGGGAGGTGGGGCGAGCCAATCATTCTTGGAGGAGGCTAAAGAGAGAGAGGGCCAAGGAGGCAGAGCTGCTGAGGAGGACCCTGTCTGTCCCGGTCGGGGGCGGGGGGGATGGTGGTGTGAGGACGCCCAGACAGAACCACAGTGACTATGCGTCCTGCTCTGACTCTGCCTCAGTGCTCAGTGTCCCTGGGTCCCCTTCCTCTCTCAGGGCCCTGTGTCTCACCGACCCCCTCACCAAGAGGGGTTTCCAGGACAGTCACAGCGGGGCCGGGGAGAACACCCCACTGGGCTGCAAGTCAGAGGGCCAGAGGAGGAAAGGGAAAGTCCCACCCAACGGCCTGTCAATCAACTTAACCGACTCCGGACCGCACTCCTCGGACGACTCTGAAGCCCCACCCACAAACGATTCCAGCCCCCTGTCGCCCATGAGCCCCGCCTCTCTGGCAGCCCTAGCCAATCAGCTGTCTTGGTCCAGCTCCAGGTCCCCAGGAGGAGCCTATGAGAGCACAGTGTCTAGCATGGCAGCTACACCAGACACCCCAGTGAGACCCATGAGTCCCAAGCCCCACAGCCCCAGACCGGCTGCCCAACGCAGGCCCTTCCGCTACCCCAATTCTGCCTCAGCCCGGGCCTCAGCCCTGTCCCTGCTCCTCATGGCTCAGTCAGCCAGTGTAGAGGGCTTGTCTGACCCACCAGAGAAGCCCAAGACCCTGAAGCCCAGAGCGGGGCCGCTAGGCTCCTCCTCCCTCAGTCCATTGGAGGACAGCGGAGTAGACAGCCAATCCCAGATCAGTCTGCTCACACCTATGTCAATCAACCAGTTTGAGGTAAGAAATAACTATATGATAACAAAGCTAATAATGCTTCATTTTTATCATTCGTCTGAAGAATTGCATGTGTTAAACAGCCCAAAAAATGTCATCTATTGAACAAAAATAAACAATGTATTCTCAGATAGACATCCATACTGTAGGTGATGACGCTCACCCGGGGCCGATCCATCTTTGAGTAGGTTGTATGAAAGAACAGTCTTCACTGGGGTCTGCTGATCCAACGTTTTGTCCCCATTGTGATATAATGGCCTGACTGTTTGTCTGTTTAACATCATGATAAAGCAGCCTTGTCTACCACTCTATCAAGACGTAGCGTGGAGGCCAGGCAGGGTGCACCATGGGATAAAGTGTTGACTCTGTCTTTCACTGGCCCTGCCTCAGCCTCGGACTGAATGTAAATAACAGCCTGGGCCTAGGGCACTTTATCCGTCTCGCTGTGTGTGTGTGTATGTGTGTGTGTGTCTGCGTGCGTGCCTGTAAGAGATTCTATGTTTGTGTTTGTGTGTGTGTGTTTGTGTTTGTGTGTGCGTGTTCGTTCAGATGAAATGCAGAACAAACCCCTCTTTATCTCCTTCCCCCGCTCCGCTCTCTCCTCTCCTGAAAGAGAGATGAAGAGGAGTGAAACAGCAGAGTCAGCTCTTTCTTTCCTGCGCTGTGCTCTGTTGTCACTGGCGTGGCGTGGTGCATTTCATTTTGTGAGTTAGTAGTCTGCTCCCGTTCCGTCCCACCTGACAGCTCTGAAACAGCCCAGCCATCCCAGCCTTACACAGCAGGCAGCTGGGAGGGGGACTGTGTGTTCTAGCCCCCCCTAGTGGAGCCTGCAGGAAGCACCTAGCAGGCAGCCAAGCAGGGACACAAAGCTAAACTACAGCATGATTACAAGTCATGTGACTTAGCTCAGTATTTATGCACACAGGAAATAGAAGGAGCTATTCTAATCAGTGGAACTACCTGTCAAGGTGCATCAGTTACATCAAGCACACCAATAAGACAATTTCGTTCACCTGTTACATCATAGTTATCAACCCTCCATAACAAATGTTTACGATCATGTACCAGTAAGAATGATATGCTGTCATGTACACAGATAGATGGCATATTAGTTCCATAGAGGCCTGGTACTATAGTCTGGAGTGAAAGTGACATTGCCAGTCCCATTAACCAATTGACTATGCACCTAAAGACTCAGGGTGGCTGTAGACCCACAAGCCAGGCAGGAGGAGGGAAGAGGCTAGCAGAGCTGAAGTCTCCTGGTTCTGGACTGGTCACTACTGCCTCAGCCCTCAGAACACCATCAGGCTACAGGCCAAACATGGAGCGGGACAGGGGTCCGAGATGCCACCGCTGCTCCTCAGACGACCTGTGGATCGAAGAGGAGAAGAGACGGAAGCGGAAGCTGGCCCGAGTCGTGAGGGGCAGCCTGGGACAACTCAACACACACTGTCCTGAAAATCTGGAGAAAGTAAGACTCCACCATGCTTACCGCTGTAAAACAACTTAGAGCCTAGCACAGAGGGAACCTATCTCTCTCCTCCTCTTCTCCTCCTCTTCATCTACGTACTGTCTCAAGGAAGTGTTTTCTCCTCCATCTTTTCTCTCCTTCGCCAGCTGTCTTCTTCCTGGAGTGTTGGCATCTCTCCTTTCTTTAATTTTTTTTCTCTTCCGTTTCCATTTAGTCTTTTATGGATGTGTTTCTCGCTCGCTCCTGTTTCTGTGCCAGTCTCTCTCAGCTCCTACTGTTAGCCTAAACCTGCATGCACCTTCAGATCAATCTGTTCCGGACAAACATATTATTACTATTGCTATAGTATTATTACATATAATACACATATGTTCATTATTTCAACAAAAGAAAGGCAGGGTCTTAACATAACAAGTGAGCAGTATGCTAAATCCACAGATAGATTTCTAAGAGGTAGGCCTATGCCTTGGTGGAGCCCCAGTCTTGATTTTTCCTCCTCCCCACAGGCTCGGGCGCGAGTGTCCCTGTCGACAATGGATGCGTTCTCCGGGATGCCCCTGAAGGCCCACTGCTTCTCCCAGAGCACCCCCATCGGACTGGACTGTCTGGGCTGGAGACGACGCATCTCCTACCCCTGTGAGTAGCTCCTACCTCCCTCTACATCCTCCTACCCCTGAGAGTACTGCATACTACTGCATACTGCTGGCTCTCTCACTCTCTTTGCCTGGGTTGGTTCCAATACTCTAAAATGGCTTCCTTTCCTCATGATGACCACTTACAGTGCTTTCAGAAAGTATTCATACAGTGAGGGGAAAAAGTATTTGATCCCCTGCTGATTTTGTACGTTTGCCCACTGACAAAGAAATGATCAGTCTATAATTTTAATGGTAGGTTTATTTGAACAGTGCGAGACAGAATAACAACAAAAAAATCCAGACAAACGCATGTCAAAAATGTTATAAATTTATTTGCATTTTAATGAGGGAAATACGTATTTGACCCTCTCTCAATCAGAAAGATTTCTGGCTCCCAGGTGTCTTTTATACAGGTAACGTGCTCCTAATCTCAGCTTGTTACCTGTATAAAAGACACCTGTCCACAGAAGCAATCAATCAATCAGATTCCAAACTCTCCACCATGGCCAAGACCAAAGAGCTCTCCAAGGATGTCAGGGACAAGATTGTAGACCTACACAAGGCTGGAATGGGCTACAAGACCATCGCCAAGCAGCTTGGTGAGAAGGTGACAACAGTTGGTATGATTATTTGCAAATGGAAGAAACACAAAATAACTGTCAATCTCCCTCGGCCTGGGGCTCCATGCGAGATCTCACCTCGTGGAGTTGCAATGATCATGAGAACGGTGAGGAATCAGCCCAGAACTACACGGGAGGATCTTGTCAATGATCTCAAGGCAGCTGGGACCATAGTCACCAAGAAAACAATTGTTAACACACTACGCCGTGAAGGACTGAAATCCTGCAGCGCCCGCAAGGTCCCCCTGCTCAAGAAAGCACATATACCGGCCCGTCTGAAGTTTGCCAATGAACATCTGAATGATTCAGAGGAGAACTAGGTGAAAGTGTTGTGGTGAGATGAGACCAAAATGGAGCTCTTTGCCATCAACTCAACTCGCCGTGTTTGGAGGAGGAGGAATGCTGCCTATGACCCCAAGAACACCATCCCCACCGTCAAACATGGAGGTGGAAACATTATGCTTTGGGGGTGTTTTTCTGCTAAGGGGACAGGACAACTTCACCGCATCAAAGGGACGATGGACGGGGCCATGTACCATCAAATCTTGGGTGAGAACATCCTTCCCTCAGCCAGGGCATTGAAAATGGGTCGTGGATGGGTATTCCAGCATGACAATGACCCAAAACACACGGCCAAGGCAACAAAGGAGTGGCTCAAGAAGAGGTACATTAAGGTCCTGGAGTGGCCTAGCCAGTCTCCAGACCTTAATCCCATAGGAAATCTGTGGAGGGAGCTGAAGGTTCGAGTTGCCAAACGTCAGCCTCGAAACCTTAATGACTTGGAGAAGATCTTCAAAGAGGAGTGGGACAAAATCCCTCCTGAGATGTGTGCAAACCTGGTGGCCAACTACAAGAAATGTCTGACCTCTGTGATTGCCAACAAGGGTTTTGCCACCAAGTACTAAGTCATGTTTTGCAGAGGGGTCAAATACTTATTTCCCTCATTAAAATGCAAATCAATTTATAACGTATATCTTTTATACAGGTAACAAGCTGAGATTAGGAGCATTCTCTTTAAGAGTGTGCTCCTAATCTCAGCTCGTTACCTTTATAAAAGACACAAGGGAGCCAGAAATCTTTCTGATTGAGAGGGGGTCAAATACTTATTTCCCTTATTAAAATGCAAATCAATTTATAACATTTTTGACATGCGTTTTTCTGGATTTTGTTGTTGTTATTCTGTCTCTCACTGTTCAAATAAACCTACCATTAAAATTATAGACTGATAATTTCTTTGTCAGTGGGCAAACGTACAAAATCAGCAGGGGATCATACTTTTTTCCCTCACTGTACAGAAATATAGTGTCTCATTTCCATCAGTATTCACAGCCCTGAGTCAATACATGTTACAATCACCTTTGGCAATATTTGCCCATTTATTATTTTCAACATTTTCCAAGCTCTGTCCAATTGGTTGTTGATCATTGCTAGACAACCATTTTTAAGTCTTGCCATAGATTTTCAAACAGTCAAAAAAACTGTAACTAAGCCACTCAGGAACATTCACTGTCTTCTTGGTAAGCAACTCCAGTGTAGATTTGGCCTTGTGTTTTGGCCTTGTGTTTTAGATTATTGTCCTGCTGAAATGTGAATTCATCTCCCAGTGTCTGGTGGAAAGCAAACTGAACCAGGTTTTCCTATAGGATTTTGCCGGTGCTTAGCTTCATTCATAGTTTCTTTTTTATCCTGAAAAAATTTCCTTAACGATTACAAGCATACCCATAACACCCACTATGCTTGAAAATATGGAGAGTGGTACTCAGTAATGTGTTGTATTGGATTTGCCCCAAACATAACACTTTGTATTCAGGACAAAATGTTAATTGCTTTGCCACATTTTTTGCAGTATTACTTTAGTGCGAAGATGCATGTTTTGGAATATTTGTATTCTGTAAAGGCTTCCTTCTTTTCACTCTGTCATTTAGGTTATTTTTGTGGAATAACTACAATGTTGTTGATCCATCCTCAGTTTTCTCCTATCATTGCCATTAAACTCTGTAACTGTTTTAAAGTCACCATTGGCCTCATGAAATCCCTGAGCGGTTTCCTTCCTCTCTGGCAACTGAGTTAGGAAGGATGCCTGTATCTTTGTTGTGACTGGTTGTATTGATACATCATCCAAAGTGTCATTAATAACTTCACCGTGCTCAAAGGGATATTCAATGCCTGGTTTATTTTGTTTTACCCATCTACCAATAGGTGCCCTTCTTTGTGAGGCATTGGAATACCTCCCTGGTCTTTGTGGTTGAATCTGTGTTTGAAATTCACTGCTCGACTGAGGGACCTTATGTGGGGTACAGAGATCATGTTAAACACTATTATTGCACACAGAGTGAGTCCATGCAACTTATTATGTGACTTGTTAAGCACATTTATACTCCTGAACTTATTTAGGGTTGAATACTTATTGACTCAAGACATTTCAGCTTTTCATTTTTAATGAATTTGTAAAAGCCTTCGAAAAACAATTCCACTTTTACATTATGGGGTATTGTGTGTAGGCCAGTGACAAAAAAATCTCAATTTAATCAATTTTAAATTCAGGCTGTAACTCAACAACATGTGGAACATTTTAAGGGGTGTGAATACTTTCTGACGGCACTGTAGTGACTTGAATCTAAGTCTACGTGGGCTTGGCCCCCATCTCAATCTCAGACTCCCAACTCCAAGCATAATGTCAGTCCCAGTCTGAGTTTTAGTGCTGCTACTCTATTTATTATCTATCCTTATTGCCTAGTCACTTTTACCCCTACCTACATGTACACGATATTACCTCAACTACCTCGTACCCTGCACATTGACACGGTTCCGGTACTCCTTGTATATAGCCCCGTTATTGTTATTTTTAGTGTTACTATTTTCTATTTTTATTAGCACATTTTCTTACTTTTTAGCTCTGCATTGTTTGGAAAGGGCTTGTAAGTAATAATTTCAAGGTAAGTCTACACTTGTTGTATTCGGTGCATGTGACAAATACAATTTGATTTGAGTTCCGTGTTTAAAATAATGTCCTCACCAAATCCTGGATTAGCCCGGTGATATCATGCCAGGCAACATCTGTTGTGAAACAACAACTTTATTTTGGAGCTAGGTCTCAGACTAGTCTCTGAGCCAATTACTATGGGCTTTTGCATGGGCAGAGTATTGTTGTAGTTCTGTATATCACCAGCAGGGGGCACCACATCCGCTGCACATCAGTGGTCCCACAGTTTGTTGGAGCTTGTAAAGGCATTGTACTATTTGCATTGACAGCCCCACTTTATCCATTTGTATTGACTTCCCTCTGGATTTGAGCCAGTGTTGTCATCTGTTTTAAATCCCGGGCAATGAGGTTCTCTGGGAACAATATAGAAACACTATGTTTTCCACAGTGATTAGTCTCTGTAAGGTATGCTTGGTCATGAGCTGGTGTCTCCAGACAGATCTTCTTTTGCATTATCTTATCAGTCCTTTTCTAAAACCAGCCATCACTTAGTGGGAACACAGAGTGCTCCTGGAATGTGTGTGTGTGTCAGGCTGTCTGTCAGGCTATTCTCTCTGTCTGAGAGGCATGTAGGAGGTGGAATATGGTGGGAGGGAATGATTTAGGAAAATATCAGTGATTCATTATCTATTCATTTTAAGCTTTCTTTCAAGGCAATTTGATAAAAGAGGGCACTATGAGTCAGGTCTGACTGTGAGAGTGCCTGGAGTAGCCTAGCCTACTACTGAGGGAAAGGTTAGGGTCACTGAACCAGTTTGATATCTCTGGGGTATGAAAGTGGTGACTGGTGATGATGGGTGGACAGCAGGCTAGTGCTGAAATGATATTACCCTGACTCAATGTCTCTGGGTGGTCAAGCTGCTGTAGTCACACATGCACACACACACACACACTACACACAGACACACACACACGCACACACACACTACACACAGACACACACACACTACACACAGACACACACACACACACACTACACACAGACACTACACACAGACACACACACACTACACACAGACACACACACACTACACACACACACTACACACAGACACACACACACTACACACACACACGCACACACACACTACACACAGACACACACACACGCAGAGGCAGCAGATTGCATGCCACTCAAAGTGAGGTCAGTGCTCTTGCACCAGATGCCTTCCGTGTAATTCGATTCATTTGAGTTAATTGAGTTGAAAGATGTATCAAAAGACAAGTGTAATGGCAACCTCTTTAGCTGACTGACTCACAGGGCTGTGGACCATAGAAATAGAATTACTAGAATGGGAATTCCCATTTAAGTCAATATGTTGATGATGTAATTCTATTTCTATGATATACACGGTGCAGTGAGGTAAGCCACTTTTCACCTTCTAACACCATACTCCTCTACATTTCTATTCCATATAACAGGGGCATTCATTATAGCCCATGTAAGGATGATTGCAAACTGACATTAAAGTCGGCAACACACTAAAGGGTTTATAAGTAGTTTACAGACTGTTAGATATTGGTTTTATTTTTAAAAAACTGTTATAACTTAAGCCTTCGTATCCGTCTGTAGTCTTTTTCTATCCAGTATACCTAAGAGACTGAGAGAGACTGAGAGAGACAGAGAGAGACAGAGAGAGACAGAGAGAGACAGAGAGAGACAGAGAGAGACAGAGCGAGACAGAGAGAGACAGAGAGAGACAGAGAGAGACAGAGAGAGACTGAGAGAGACAGAGCGAGACAGAGAGAGACTGAGAGAGACTGAGAGAGACTGAGAGAGACAGAGAGAGACAGAGCGAGATAGACACATTGTTACAGCACTGTATATATACATAATATGACATTTGAAATGTCTTTATTCTTTTGGAACTTCTGAGTGTAATGTTTACTGTTAATATTTATTGTTTATTTCACTTTTGTTTACTATCTACTTCACTTGCTTTGGCAATGTTAACATACGTTTCCCATGCCAATAAAGCCCTTAAATTGAAATTGAATTGAGAGACACAGAGAGAGAGAGAGACACACAGAGAGAGAGAAAAAAAAAGAGAGAGAGAGAGACAGAGAGAGAGAGAAAGGAGGGTACATTTTCCCTCCTATCTGAACTTTACTGGCTTTGTGTTTGAAGGCTCCAAGGTCACAGCTCAGTGGCTCTGTCTGCATGGCCTTCTCTGTGTGTCTGCCTGCATGTACCCTCATCAGGACTACCAGCCTTATCTTCACCAGGTGGCTTTCTGGCATTTTAGCCTCCACAGGACACAGTAGGACCAACCATTTCCCTGTGTTGTTGTATGAGACAGACAGTGACAGCAGCACTACAGTGTATCTCTGATTAGTCTCACCAGGCTATCACAGTCTCACTGTTTCTATTCACCACAACAGCTGATAATGTCGGTGTTTTTAATGCTCTTGACATTTGCTACTGGGGTTTATGTAAATGCTATGCTGAGGTCAAGACTTCTTCAATACCAATCATTGGCACTAGTGTTTGTGACATAAGCTATTCAAAGATTAAGATGTAGGGGGTACGTTTCTAGGATTCCTTTATGTACTAAACATCCATAATATTATATTAGATCATTGTAGGTGCGGTGAGTGTTGCATCGATATTATGGGGTTTTCTGTCCAGTCAGTCTTTTCAACTCTGATAGAAACAGGAAATAGAGTTTCCATCTACTGTTCTGTACTGGCTGACTGGCTGGTGTTGAATAGCCTGATCTCTCCATCTCATTCTCAAAGAGCTCTAATCAGTCATTGTGAAGGAGTGTGTGTTTGTGTGTGTGTGTGTGTGTGTGTGTGTGTGTGTGTGTGTGTGTGTGTGTGTGTGTGTGTGTGTGTGTGTGAGAGAGAGAGTTGCTGACTGTTTCTATGAGAATGCCATTGCAGTATTTTTCTAGTGCTGAACTCTTGTTAGTTCTGGCAGGGGGCTGTTCCCCCCCCCCCCTCCTTCTCTCTCTCTCTCTCTCTCTCTCTCTCTCTCTCTCTCTCTCTCTCTCTCTCTCTCTCTCTCTCTCTCTCTCTCTCTCTGTAAGTGTGTGGCTCTGGAACCTTCTCCCTCGTGTGTAGTTCCCTGTATTCTGTGTGTAATATTTCCTCTATACAGAGAACATACAGAGAGAATCACATTCCAGTGGAAAGAAATCATGTATCTGTTTTACTTTGAAGAGTTTGTACATATGCTGTCTAGCCAGCCAGACAGCCATTTCTCTTCATGTGTTGATCATGTGTTGATCTAACTTGTGTATGGGAGCCTAGAGCAGAACCTGAAATAACACTTTTTGTATCTTTGCAAAGTTATGACAGAGCACTGTTGGATCATTGGATAGGATATACAGTGAGGAAAAAAAGTATTTAGTCAGCCACCAATTGTGCAAGTTCTCCCACTTAAAAGATGAGAGAGGCCTGTAATTTTCATCATAGGTACACGTCAACTATGACAGACAAAATGAGAAAAAAATATCCAGAAAATCACATTGTAGGATTTTTAATGAATTTATTTGCAAATTATGGTGGAAAATAAGTATTTGGTCAATAACTAAAGTTTCTCAATACTTTGTTATATACCCTTTGTTGGCAATGACACAGGTCAAACGTTTTCTGTAAGTCTTCACAAGGTTTTCACACACTGTTGCTGGTATTTTGGCCCATTCCTCCATGCAGATCTCCTCTAGAGCAGTGATGTTTTGGGGCTGTCGCTGGGCAACACGGACTTTCAACTCCCTCCAAAGATTTTCTATGGGGTTGAGATCTGGAGGCTGGCTAGGCCACTCCAGGACCTTGAAATGCTTCTTACGAAGCCACTCCTTCATTGCCCGGGCGGTGTGTTTGGGATCATTGTCATGCTGAAAGACCCAGCCACGTTTCATCTTCAATGCCCTTGCTGATGGAAGGAGGTTTTCACTAAAAATCTCACGATACATGGCCCCATTCATTCTTTCCTTTACACGGATCAGTCGTCCTGGTCCCTTTGCAGAAAAACAGCCCCAAAGCATGATGTTTCCACCCCCATGCTTCACAGTAGGTATGGTGTTCTTTGGATGCAACTCAGCATTCTTTGTCCTCCAAACACGACGAGTTGAGTTTTTACCAAAAAGTTCTATTTTGGTTTCATCTGACCACATGACATTCTCCCAATCCTCTTCTGGATCATCCAAATGCACTCTAGCAAACTTCAGACGGGCCTGGACATGTACTGGCTTAAGCAGGGGGACACGTCTTGCACTGCAGGATTTGAGTCCCTGGCGGCGTAGTGTGTTACTGATGGTAGGCTTTGTTACTTTGGTCCCAGCTCTCTGCAGGTCATTCACTAGGTCCCCCCGTGTGGTTCTGGGATTTTTGCTCACCGTTCTTGTGATCATTTTGACCCTACGGGGTGAGATCTTGCGTGGAGCCCCAGATCGAGGGAGATTATTAGTGGTCTTGTACGTCTTCCATTTCCTAATAATTGCTCCCACAGTTGATTTCTTCAAACCAAGCTGCTTACCTATTGCAGATTCAGTCTACAATTTTGTTTCTGGTGTCCTTTGACAGCTCTTTGGTCTTGGCCATAGTGGAGTTTGGAGTGTGACTGTTTGAGGTTGTGGACAGGTGTCTTTTATACTGATAACAAGTTCAAACAGGTGCCATTAATACAGGTAACGAGTGGAGGACAGAGGAGCCTCTTAAAGAAGAAGTTACAGGTCTGTGAGAGCCAGAAATCTTGCTTGTTTGTAGGTGACCAAATACATATTTTCCACCATAATTTGTAAATAAATTCATAAAAATTCCTACAATGTGATTATCTGGATTTTTTTTCTCAATTTGTCTGTCATAGTTGACGTGTACCTATGATGAAAATTACAGGCCTCTCTCATCTTTTTAAGTGGGAGAACTTGCACAATTGGTGGCTGACTAAATACTTTTTTTCCCCACTGTAGCTCAGAAGGATTAAACTAGGTGTGTTTACTGTTTATTTAGTTATATAGAACAGTGGATCAGGTTAGTCCCCCTCTCTCTATATATTTTCCTCTCTTCCTCTCTCTCTGTCTCTTCCTTTCTCAATCTCCCTCCCACAATGCTTTAGAAACAGCAGGCGGGGGGAGATGGGGGGGAGGAGGGGGGATGTTTTCAGTCCCACCTTAATGGCACTGCACCATTACATTAGAGAGTCATCAGCCATCAGCTGCAGCCAGGCAGCTCCCAGGCAAACAACACTACAGAGCTACCGAGCCCCCCTAGAGGAGCCCCACTGATGTCTGTCTGTAGCTGTGTGGCTGGAGCCAGTGTGTGCGACCGCTCGGCTATGTGAGTTAGCAAGAGCGAGGGAGAGAGAGCGAGAGAGAGTGAGCGAGCGACGGAGAACGAGTGAGAGAGCGAGAGGGGAGGCGCAGCAGCCGGCGAGAGCAGAGCCAGAGAGAAGAGCAACAGCAGAGACTGAAGCACTCACTGACTGACTGTGGAGCCGACTGACACACATACAGCCTACCTACCTAGCTAGAGAGGCCAGGTAGAGGCTACAGCACTGTTATCTACCTACCTACCGCCCTACCTACCTACATACCCAGCGTTACCTACCTGACCACCACTACTACCAGGCTCCAGTGCCCAGCTCCAGGTCTGTGTTCGGGGGCCCTCCTGTCCAGATGCGGACCCAGCAGGGCTCTGAGGGGCCCGTGCCCCTGCCCGGGGGCAGCTGTGGCAGCAGCGGCAGCACCAGCTCTGGACTCTCCCCTGGATCTCCTGGTTCTGACTCGGACAGCGGTACCCCCACCAGGGTGGGAGGTGGAGGAGGTGGAGGAGGTGGAGGAGGCGGAGGAGGCGGAGGAGGAGGAGGAGGAGGGGGCGGTCTGGGGGAAAGATGGGGGGCAGGAGGAGGCGGGATAGGGAGCCTAGGAGGTACTCTCAGGGGGGTCCTCTCCCACTATTGGAGCCTGGAGAGCCTGCACTCCACCACTGGTAAGAGGGTACCTACCTCACACACCACACACACACTCCTCAGTGGGAGTAGGGTAAAAGGGTTTGTGTGTTTTTGGGCTGGCAGGTTTAGAAGGGAGGGGTGTTACCTGTCAGTCATTCAGAGTGTGATGGTTGCCATGGTTTTGTTGTGCTGGAGTCTGTCTGTCTGTTTTGTCTAGACCTGTTGATGAGTTGTCAATCATGGCTTAAAGGCACTGGCCATGTTATTGTTGTCTTGGCGTTAGTAAACATGCTTCAGTCTATGATATGATATGACTCAGATAAAGGATGCATTGCGTTAGCATTGAGCCCTCTTGCCTTATATTAGACATATGCCTGTGTTGTTTTGCTGCTAAGACAGAGTATGAGGTGTGTCAGATGATACTGCTCACTTAATGAGGTGTATCAGGTTAGAGTTTATCTAACATAAAGGTCTATAGGTAAGAGATTTATATTTTCACACAGAGCTTATGAGGTCGTTTTTTATTGGTGGAAGATATTGAGGGTGTTGGCCTCAACTGAAATAGCGGTGTGTGATATTATGTTGTATTGGTCATACACAGCTGTCGGAGGATTGTGTCATTTTGTGATTATGGCAGAGGGCTGTGTGTTTGTGTGTATGTTTGTGTGTGCATGTGCCTGTGTGTGTGCATGTGCACATATGTGTGTGTGTGTGTGTGTTAGCATGTGTGAGTGTGTGAATTTGCACACCCTATAAGTGCCTGTGCAGTACCTGTTTGCTATTTCTGCTGTTGTCATCTGAGCGGGTGCAGCAAGGCTTGGAGTGTACTGATTCGGGAGAGAGGAGACGGCAGCCCCATTAGCTGCAGGCTAAAATGTC